ATCGATATGCAAATTGCAGTCATAAAATACCCATCTTTAAGGTGTCAATACAGCGAAGACAGCAACCAACTCAGATTTAAATCAGCCTCATCCTGCACTGCATGCATGTTACAGGCCCGCTTATGCAGAAAGACTTGGTGTTGACTCATATTAGCACCAGCGCAAGACTCAATGGTTACACTTTTAAGGTGTCTTTGTTAAAGTGTAATTACAGTGAGTAATTTTAAGCAACTACATGTATTTGCTTGAGGGTTAGTTATTACTATGATACATATGCAACAAGGACACTTTAAAGTGTAAACTAGAAAAGTGAGCAGATGCAGAGATGGCCTCGTTGCTTCTGTCCAAGTCGCAAACCCAAAGGAAGAGCCCGATTGCAACTCTGATCTCTGTGCTCGCAACGTACAAGCATGTGTACGTTAATGATGCAAGTTTTCTGCTCTCTAACCACAGAGCTGAGCCTGTTCGAAGCACACAGACTCTTTCAATACCACATTAACATGTGGGCCGCCGAGAGGGGAAAGGAGGAGGTGGAGTAACCTGGGAACAAAGCCTCTATAGTTGTCTCAAGCCTGGCTATGAGAGTTATGTAATTTGACTGGCAAGGCTGCATTTCCCCACCGGAGTTTTGCAGACTAATCTCACTGAGGGACGGAGCTGCTCTAGAAAGCGGCGAGGACATGAAAAACGTGCTTGTAATGAGCAGCTTTCATCTATAGCGGTGCCAAACGCCGTTGCAGTCGGCAGATAATGCTGCAAAGATGATCAGATCGTTGGTACGTACGTGGCTTTCAAGGGGAAAAGGGCCGAAGCAAGAGCCTATGCTCACCATAAGCATCCCGGTGGATTTAGAACGGTTAAAAATAAAATCTGATTCTGATTTACTGCTCTGGGTGCCTGGAAACCATGTGACTGGCATCACATGAGAAGTGGAAGGGGTTGGGACACACACACACACACACACAGCGCGCTGCCGGCATAATGAGCTTTGTGATCAGTCTTGGTGTCTACTGACGGTAAGCAGATATGGTCTGATTTCAAGAGGTAAACACCAGAAGAACTCCGAGCTCCACAGGGACGAAGAAAATGGAGGAAATTATCAGTGTTTCCGAGGGTTAAAACGGATCTCGACTGCTGTTTATATCTGTAGCCGTCTGTCAGCCTGTACGCCAAGCAGAAACAGCAATCTCTTCTGCGGTAGTACCATTCTACGTACAAAACTTCAAGAAACAAAACTCGAAAATCTGAATAGACTTGATACACAAGTTGTTATTCGCTAATGCTCTTCCCATCCACTACTGTATTTTATTTTCAGATATGAGCCCGACCGATAAAGGGTTTTGAAGGCCGATACCGATACAAATGTTTTTTGGTTTTAAGATCCGATATATCGGCCGATATTTCAGAAACGCGCAACAAAACATCAACAGATTTCCCTAACATTAGTTATTTGTAGTTATTTATGAGTTTTAACTAAAATAATATGATAATGCATTTTAAAAAGAAACTTGTTTCTTTTATTGTCGCAACAGGACAGACTGATGATAGTGGCGTTAGCTAGCTTTGTGGTTAGCTAGTCTATGATGAGCCATAATTTAGCAATGGATAGTCATTCTGCAAATTGTAAAACATACATTTTCAATATAACAGGCCGAGGAGAGATGATGCGTCTCATTGCTATAACGGTCACGCGCTATTAACTCTTTCCCCGCCAAACACGGAATTTTCCGTGTTTAATGAAAAAACGCATCTGCGCCAAACACGGAATTTTCCGGGTATCCGTGTTTTAGGTGGTATACGGTAAGGAAGACCTGCGCGCATGTCCTGAATGATTGCGCAACTCTTTGTTTAGAGAAACAGATTGCAATCGTCTCAAACAGTGGAGTAGTGAGAATGTATCAGACAGACAATGCAGAGGTATATGGCTGAAGTACTGGAGGTTAATGGACTCGGAGTCCGATCACTCTTTATTTGATAATTCTGAATCTGATCGGGACGAAGTAGTCAGTGAGAGAGATGCACATGTTCATGCTAGCCATGGACGTGCCGCAGATAGATCGTATAATATTATGACACTATATTATGTATGTGTGTGTGCAGGCATTTATGTGTGGCTGTCTAAATATGAAGGTGTAATTGTCAAATTATTTCTCTCTTTGTGCACATTTACCACATTGTAATATGTATTTGTGTGTGTGTGTGTGTGTGTGTGTGTGTGTGTGTCTAGGCCTGTTTATTGTAATTCCAATTATTCATAGGTAGAACACAGAGAGGCAGAGGCAGAAGTTTTATTGCAAAAGTTACATTTCCCTTACATCCTGGGAAATTTGATATATTTTACATTTATTTTATGTTTTTAATTTATTTTGGAAAGTTTTATATATGAAGGAAACAACATCTGAATGTATTCTGCTTTTAAATGCACTTGTTTGATAAAAACACCTTTTTCTCAGTTTTTTGTCCAAAATGTTGTGTTTTTGACAAAACCTACCTCTGTTCAAGAGGCAATAAAAAAAGAACAGATGAAGATAAAATAAAAACGTTTTTTTTGCCTAAAAGCAGAGGCTCAGATCTTTATTTTTATATATATCATCTTCATATATTCATGGAAGAAAATATTCAGCGGGGGCATTCAAATTTAGCGAAAATCGTCAAAAACCCTGGCGGTGGCTGGCAACTTTTTTTTAAAACGCTGGCGGGGAAAGAGTTAAAGAAATACTTCAGTCACATTGTCAAAAGTTTAACACTGTAGCAACGTAACGTAATTATTACTAGCTAATTCCGCTTCACTCTCGGCTTATTTAACCGCATCAAAACTGGACATGATAGTCACAAATTTTGTCATGCTTATTTGAGTTTAGAGAACTGATGGGGATGTTCTATCAATTGTTATTCAAGCAATGTATGTCTCGTGCCCAACTCAACGAGTGTTGCCAACAGGGAGGGTGTAGAGCGCCCTCTGGTGGACAAACTATACAAACTCCAACACTCATGACATGGTTCAAGCGTGTTTCGTCCGTTTTTATTATATTTTTGAAATATTCATTTATCGGCCATTATAACTGCCGATACCGATAGCTTGGAAAATGCCTAATATCGGCCGATAATATCGGTCTGGCTCTATATGGAATTGTCAAATATACCACTGGTTGCATACATTTTTAAAGTGAGAGCTATGGTGGATGTGATCATCTGTTAATATTGGACGCATCGATGAATAACTATAGATGTTATGTATCATCACAACACAGACAAAAATTTAATTTTTTTACTCTACTTCGACTTCATGATAGCCACGCCTGCATCTACCGCCATCGACCGCTCTACTCATTTCCATCAAATGGTGCATTCTCTATTAAACTGTAAAAGCACCAGTTGATCGCTATACAGCAACCCAGCTGTCCTGTCAATCATCAACGTCAACGACGGCCAAAAAACAAACATAGACAACTAGATATGGGTCGATACACGGTTATACAATACATCACGATAATGAGCGCGAATGGAATTGTAAAACACAGTGAATTATTTATTTTGCGTTTCAATAATAGTTTTCCATCAACTGGTTAAAATGTTCAACACCGCATTCAATCTCTGACAGCGGATGGCGCTTCTTGAACAGCGTTAAACTTGTAAAAAAAAAAAACCTGTAAACACATCAGCTACGCTACTTTCTGCTTCTGAACAATTTAAATGTTTAAGAGCCATTCATATATATATATATATATATATATATATATATATATATATATATATATATATGAAGAGTTCAGATGCAAAAACCTCTAAATGCCATTTGAAATTTTCTTCTTTAATGATGATTTTTATCAAACTTGTATATTTAAGTTCAGTAATTTCACTTAAATAACAATTAATAGGTAATTATCATTGCCATTTAAGTGAAATCACTGAACTTTAGTATACAAGCTTGATAAAAATGATCATTCTAGAAGAAAATTTACATATTTTTTCACACATACATACATACATATTCATTATTCATATTTTTTATATTTTAATCTGGACTGGATGAAATACCCTTTTCCAGTAACACTTTACAGTAAAGCTCTATTAGTTAACAACTTAACACTGATTAATTCATTAGTTAACAATATCGTGATACAGCCAACATATTCTCTCCTGTCTGACTCAATCCATGTGGAGCAAAGAAGTCAAACTTTTCTAGACTCGATGATTGACCAACGATGATTGATTTATTGCGTGATTAAATCACTCAAAGTTCAACAAAGTTGCATTCGGGTAGGAATGTAACGCACAGGTCAAATCTGTCGCATTTGGCACTTTTTGTCCAAAATAATATGTTAGTTTACTAATTTTGTGTTCTACAGAGGAAGGTCTTGGTTTTAAAGCGCAAGCGATGAAAACTAAAAATTGTACTCTTCTTTTAAGCATTTCTTAGAAAACCGCAGCAATATTGCCTGTGCTATGCTAGCTTTCATGGAAGACAGTCGCTACATAGTCTCATGAAGAAGCATGGTCACATGAGCTGCGTGCTGGAGAGGGAAGCAGTGACCCATTTAAACAACAGCCTCTACACACACATAACAGAGAGAAGGCAAATCCACACTCAAAAACCCTTAACAAAAGCGGTGGCAGGCAGGGCCCAGGCATGCAATAAGCCCTGCTCTTAATACACACATTCCAGAGCTGAGCCGTACACCTGCCTGTTGGTACTAGCATCGGCGCCGACAAACTCACATTCACATATAAAACCTGCATGTTCAAACATATACACTATTTAACCAAGAGTTCAAAAGCCCATAGTCAGTATTCCCAAACTAGCAATGAGATGAAAACAATACCTCAAGATAATTCAGAATAAACATCCCAATGCAGCCAAAGCCACTGACATTGACACACAGATATTTCAGCATCAGTTGTGTTTACTCATAGCCAACGGTGGCACCAAAACGAGGAACTAGCCAGTAACAGTCAAACCATCATTACTCGCCGCAACAAGAAAGAAAGATGGGATTTACCGATTCCATGGCCGTCTTCAGATGGGAAAGGTTAAAATCCAGCTAAAAATGCTGAAGATGTGGCTGTGAAGTCCAAGCAATCCTGCGGAAGCAAAATGAAAGATAGATTAGTCTCCTGAGTATTGATGTTTCACTTAACATTAAATTATATATATATGGAGGGGTGGAACAATATATCACAATACAAAAATGCAACAATATGTATTGTGGATAGCTCACCCAAAAGAAAAAATTACTGATGTTTACTGAGATTTGGTGTAAATTTGGTATACTATATATATAATAATGCAATGGGGGAATATTTGTGGGTCCTGATAATGCCACATTTCTTAAGTTACCAGTAAAAAGCAGCCGACATTATTTTAAATTAGGGCTGTGCAAAAATTAATTGCGATTAATCGTATCCAAAATAAAAGTCTGTGTTCACATAATATATGTGTGTGTGCTGTATATAATTATTTTGTATATATAAATACATAGGTGCATGTATATATTTAAGAGTTATTTGCGTTTAAATTCTGTATATATATATATATATCTATAAAAATAAATAATCTATATTATATAAATATTTTATATATGAATAACACATTTTCTTAAATATATACATGCATGTGTGAGTATTTATATATACAAAATAATTATATACAGCACACACAAATATATTATGTAAACACAGACTTTTATTTTGGATGCGATTAATCGCAATTAATTTTTGCACAACCCTATTTTAAATATAACTAGTTAGTGAAAGAGTTCAAGGCATATTCATCTAAAATAATTCTGTATTTTCATCTTCAGAATCATGAATATTGTTATTCTGGTGTCTCTATTGTCCTGTGCTTTGGGTTTCAGCACCAAGTCCAAGAATATTCATTTACACAGACAATGAAGTATCAAAATTCAGCATTTTTAATCAACAATACATTTTTTGTGAACCTTTTATTGTAACTCTGAGTATCTCAATAATATCGTATTGTGAGTTCAGTATCGACATATATCGAATCGTGACATGAGGGAATCGTTACAACCCTATTTTACTGTAAAACTTAGAGCATGAAATGCCAGATCAAGCCAAACACACACAAGGAAAAGAAGGTTTCACCCTTGTGTTTTGGCATAAGCGGTCCAGCTCAGCATTTATGGCGAACTGGTTTATCACGATTTCGGGGGTCAGTTGGTGTACTGGGACACAATGGGCACATTCCTACGTTGCTGTCACCCAATCCGACGTTACATGCTAACAGCTGCAACAAGAGTGTGGTATTCAAGGCTTGACTGCAACGTCTACTGAACCATTATCAGTCTGTCTCATAATATTAATCTTTCCAGATACAGCAAACACAAAAGTTGATGAAAAATCTAAAGCTCAGTCAAAATAAATGCCCCTTTTGAGAATTAAATAGTGATTCACAAAATATAGTTGAGCTTACTGGTATTGGTGGTGTTTATTTTATCACTTATCTTATTGGTCTGATATAGGCCAACTCAGAAGTTAGCATCACCCTGGTTCCCTCAACAAAAACCCAACAGGATTTTGGATTATTGCAGAAAATAAGTTATTTGACCAAAAAAAGTTTCTTACATGTTTTTGTTTGACAAATGAACAACATAAGTCTAAACACAGAAGGAAAAAGCTGAAAGTAGGCTATAAACGAACCACACCATGGTTGCATAACCATCACAATGCTTCCGACAACTTGAGTCAAATTGAGACTTGATATTGTGTAATAGTGTTTAATGTTAAATTACATTGGAATTATTAAACCATTTAAATTACAGTGTGGAGTGGGTCACCACAGTGGAGCATTTTGTTTGCCTGTTGACTGATTTCATTATTTTCTTTTTGCTTTGGATGAAGGAGCATGTAAATCTTAGCATCAAGATGCTACTGCTAGCAAATAGCTAGCTAAAGTCTATCAATTTAATTAAATGTCACTGAATCAAATGAAATATAATTGGATAAATGAATATAATAAATGCCTTAATGAATATAATAAAAATTCACGTTGAGACTACTTAAATTGGGTAATTTAAAATTACTTAATTCCATTATGTTGAAGTTACATGAACAAATTATGTTTGTTTAACAATCCAGTTATGTGGCACCTGTTGACAAATAATTTTTTGGAGTGAATCATCAATGATTGTACCAAAAACATTTTATGCAAAAGGTACAAAATTGATTCAGCTGACTATAAACGAGCACTGGGTCCGGTCACTATGAGGACAGGAGAGACCACATTAAGGGCAGTCCTCACTCAGATGGGTGTCTGGGAGGGCCAGACCGGATCCTCCCCACAGAAATGTGCCAGATTGGATTAATCCTGACTGGAGAGAACTCCCTCTTAATGGAGCTTCGAAATGAGACTGTAATCTTACCAAGAAAATCCTCTGAACACAGAGAACAAGAGTAGCTCAAACACACATCAAATAAACAAGTCATTTAGGAAAAACAAGATATTTAAAAACACGTTAAAAAAAGGTCACTGAAGTGTTTGTCAAAACCAGTTTGAGAACAGCTGGAACAGAAGTTTAACCCTTGTGCATCCTTATGGACATTTTTGTCCCTTTCAGTTTTGTTTTTTTGATCACTTTGCCTGTGTTAAAGCTAACTGCAAACAACTTGCCACAGGTGTGTATTTTTATTGGAATTTTACTATTTCACAGTCATTTTCTTAAAAAAATATTTTTTGAATTAGGTACAAAAAACACTCCCTCTCAGCACCTTTTGGACAAAAATGTCCCCATTGAAACCCATTAAAACCTCCATTTTTAATCCCCGGTTCAGTTAACTATAAGTATGCAATCTTTGTTAAGAGGCTTTCATTCTGATGGCAAGGCTTCAAAATTTTATTTTTTACTATTTTTTATCAGATGGTGCCATTTTTTTTAAGTTTAGCCTATAAAACAAATATCGCTTTATTCCTGTTTTCTGCTTCGGCATATTATTGAGCCAACTGGATAAATTATGCAACAATATTTTTGTGGGTGTGTTGGTATGGATGTCAGAGTGTGGTTAGTATGTGTGTTATAAAAAAATGTGTGTGCGCGCATGTGTGTGTTTGTAATACTGAGAGAGAAAAACTGCAAATTCATATCCAATCACTGTGAGCTCCAGTGGGGTTTTGCTGGGACCCAATGGGGAAAATATGTTACTACGCCCAAACAAACTGTTACCGAAAGCTCATTTTTTGAGATATCATCCTCAAATTTGGAACACAACCTATTTAGATTTATGGCTTTGATTTTATTGCAGTTTTTAGTTCAACCTGATTTAAAAAATATATATTTTATATAAAATATTTTTTATAAATAATTTTCGTAAACGTATACCTATATAACTTTTTTTTGGATTTGCTTATTATTATTTTTTTACTTCAGCAATAATCTGCAAAGGGTCTTCTTTAAAATGATACCAAACTTAAGTCTGTGCTCCAAAGCGTCACATTTTTATGACAGTTTTTTGACATGGACATTTTTGTCCTCTTTTTACCTATGTGTAACTTTTTTTAATTGATGCACAAGGGTTAAGTCTCCCAGACCAGTTTACTGTGTTTATTTGGTGATGATGGTGAATCAGTCTCTCCTGTCCTGCTTTGGGTTGACCCTAAAAGGAAACCCGAGGCCTAAGGAGAGCTTTTAAAGCCCTTTAAAAATCACCAGTCCAATGGGCTGTTTGTGTGTAGACGAAAGGGCATGTTTTCACAATGCTTTCACAAAGGAAAGAAACTTCTCTGCAGAGGAACAGACCTGCCAAGCTTGCCACATCCTGACCATCAGGCTATGATGAACAACCAAAAAACAGGCAAAACAAGCAAACCCTGTTAAAATCAACTGGTTTAACACATACAGGTTAAAAAAACAAGCCTAAGCTTAAAAATATGCTGAAGCCCAGCCAAGCATAGTCAACTTTATTAACAGAAAAGAGACAGGGACTAATTTAAAAGGCAAGATTTAATTAAAAATGGCCCCTCTTGAACATTTCATAAGCGTGTTATTCCAAAGATGTTCACAATCAATTACCAAAATAAAGATTTATTTTAATTAGGATGAACGAGAAGTAGTGGCTGACTTAGTTTGTTTTCTGTGGATTAACTTGCATTTATTACTTATTAACCACAAGGCTAATAAATGTGCACTAAAAGGAAATAAGCTATTTTTTGATTTCATGCGGACGATATCCAAAACGGCCTCTTCTGCAATGTTTTAGCAAACTCTCATTCAGTCAGTTATGATGAGTAAAATCAAGTCCACGCTAAAACAGTTACTTGAAGTCGGGTCAAATATATTCTGTGCTCCCCCATCCTTCAACAACAGCTTCTTAGCAAAGCCTAAATTACTCTGTGATAACGAGTTCATAAACACTGAAATGGGGCATAAAAAGGTACCTTGGTAAATGTAAAACAAGTGCCACACAACCAGGAACTAGCACAAGATTGGGTGACCACACACTGCCGTTTTTGCAGCTTCACTTCATTTAATCTTTTTGGACAGGGACCAGTTTGGAGGTAAAGTAAGTTTCAACGTAAAGGGCTTTCCTGCTGTTTGCGACTACATTTTGGTAGAGGTCGCACTGGTGTTGCCACCATGTTGAGCAACTGATAGATACCATTTCTGCATATTAGAAACATCAAATGGCAAACGAAACAAACTCGCGCAACTAGGGCTGTCGCGGTTATGGAATTTCCCTTGCGGTAATGTTGAGTGGCTCAATAGCGCGATATGCGGTATTACCGCCATTTATTTATTTATTTAATTAATTATATGTTTTTGTTGCTATATAAATAATGTTTACGATGTGGACAAAAACGAGGACATTTTCAGTAACCAATGCAACCGAAACTAAATAGCGTCGACACAGTATATGCGCATTGAAAGACTTTCACTCAGCGCGCATATTGTTATGACAACGGACTTTGAGCGAGTCATTGAACCGTTCATTCAACGAACACGTTTAAAAAAGCTGATTCAACAAGATGTTATTTATTTTTAACTTTGAGATTCAACTTTAAGGCTCAGCTGAGCAGCAATGCGTCGCATAGGCAACGCTGAAGCTGATGCTTCACTTATTAGAGACCT